CTATAGTATATACTAATATATATATATATATATATATATATATATATATATTTCATCATAATACATCTCCACCTATCCTCTATCTATCCTCCACTGATCTCCACTCGATATAATACAATACAATACAATCCAATACAATCCATACAGACAGATATCGATCGGCATTCGCTTGCTTGCTTGCTTCCTTCCGGTCTGCAATCGCTTCCTTGCTTGCTTGCTTGCTTGCCTTCTTGCTTATGCCGACCAAGACTGAAAAGACTGAAAAGAAAGAGAAAGAGGAAGAGGAAGAGGAAGAGGATATCCCACCTAAGCTAAGCGAGCCGAGGAGTAACCAACGATACGAGGTGCTGTTGTGTTCTTCTTCAAGTCTTCCTTTTGGAATACTCTTTTTTTCCCCTCTTGAGATTCTACGGATTTTACGGATCCGGCTTGGCTTCGGCTGGGAGAGCGGGCGACGATGGTTCGTTCTATTTTGCAAGGCTTTGAGTGGCAGGTAAGCATAGGTACAGTAGGTACCGTACTCGTACGTGGAGGGAAAGGGCGAGAGGGGGAGGCGGGAAGGATAGTTGATAATTGATAACTTGAGTCCTTTTCGGATTGGATGCTCATCTACATCTACTTTTCTTAGCATCTTTAGCATCAGCGCCAATTGGCATCAGCATCAGCATCTATCCATTCGCTCAAACCTCGTACCAGCAGCTACTAGATATCCGTGGAAGAGGATCCACCTTTTCACCAAGTCACGACTCACCACCCCCCGCCAGCAGGCCACAGGAAGACCCCCCCGACAGCCACGGCCATGATAATCCTACGAGTCCTAGGCTACTACGGCATGGCGGTATGCGTCGCCAAATTCTGCCTGCAGACAGGAATCCAAAACATACCGAGCTGCGCACAAGATGCAGATGATCGCGAACCCGTCGACAACCATGCCGGCCCATCCCCATCGGTGAGAATGCCACCTGCTCAACGACCACCAGTGCCCTCTACCCCGATGGCAGTGCCCAGCGATGGATTTGCACCCAGACGGCTAAATCCGGGCGCCATCTTACCAACATCCGCGTCCACCGCTGCGGGCAGCGCAGATGACAGTGCCTACCACACCCCCATGTCGGTCGCGATAGCTGTACCCGCTGTGACATCTACGACGGATCCATCGCCATCGTCCACGGTCGCAGGTAGTGCAGGTGATGACCGTGCTGGCAAGTACCTGCTGCCCATCGGGCTTACGACCTCTGCTATCCGGCGTCAGTCCAAGGCCAGATGGTGAACATCGTGGGCTTCTGACCCTGGTGCTGATCACAGGGCATGGTGTAGATGGCTTCCTGCACATCGTGACGAGGGCCGGCTTTTTCCTTGCGGAAAGCAGGGGAATCGATAATAGCCCAGGAAAGCGAGCGCGGATGGGCGGCTGGCAGCACCGAACGGCTCGTTGAATGCGGCCATGGATGATTGAGAAAACGAAGCTGAGAATGAAGGGAGGGTGCAGAATGTATCGCGGGTGGTGTGTATGTGTAATTGACAATGGCCATAGCGTGAAGGCAGCGAGAAATGGATGGGTACAATTCCGTTCATTAGATTCTGCGAGGGGATAGTGGTGAGATGGATGTAAAAAGAGAAAAAAGCATTGCATACACGATAACAACGACTCCTCAGCACCGATCGAGAACAGATTTGAACCTATACACCGGGCAAGAGAAGGAAAGCAAAGGAATGGCTATACGGGAGATGATGCCGGCTTCATCTCACGCCCCCCGGAGCTGGATCTGCATACGACTATTGGATACAGCGTATGTGAGAAAGATGCGCTTGCACTGCCATGCCCATCCATTATAGAGATGGGAGAGATGGGAGAGAGAAGGGAGCAAAGAAATGGATGATGATGATGGTGATGGTGATGGTGATGGAGATAGCTTGACACGTGACTGATGGCAATCAGTGTCCGATCCGACATCGCATCATATCACGTTTCTCGATAAACGTGACTGGCTGTCCTTGGCAAGTGCACGCGTCGCCTTCTCTTCTTCGCACAAGGCCAACCCCTCGCCTGACGGGTTCCGACTCGACTTGCCCCAATACCGTAGTTCTTCTCCCGCTTTATCTGATGCTCTGCGAAGGTTCTCGTGTTGAATTGAGCATCAGCGACGATCTATTAAGCCGAGCATAGAATGACATACATACGGACATACGGCGAAATGCCGGCATATCTATCCTGGGCTGACTGACTGACTGACTGGCCTGGTTCTGCAGGCGAGCCGGCTAGATAGTGAGTGAGCCAGCCGATATATATATAGGTCAAGATGATAATGATGGTAGTCGACATGATTGATAGGGAATCGGGAAGGGAAGTGATAGAGTAGGTGATGAATGTGTTTATGCATATATGTAATAAAACAAGACGAGTAAGTGAGTTGAGTAGGCCGTAGTCGTTGTACGTCGTTGTACTTCGTAGTTGTAGCTCTGCCTTGATCACGGCGGCCGTGGGCAACTGGGCAACTGGGCAACTGGGCAACTGGGCAAGGTATGAACTCGCTGCACGTCAGAAGAGATAGGGTGTGTCAGGGAAAAGCCGATCGTGGGGCGAGGCGGGGCAAGGCGGGGCACGGCGGGGCGGGGCTGTTGAGGGCGGGAGCTTTTGATGGGCTGTGTCTGATTGGCTGTACTTATCTGCAGTACTTACGTACTACGACTATCTGCGAAGCGAGTCGTGTCGTAGTGGGGCACAGCCTGCATGGATCCCCCCCCCCGAGAAACGAAAGTCTGACACATTCCCGTTATCGTTATCGTTATCGATATCGGTAGCGAGCATCGGGAATGATAGCAAAAGCGGTATCGCTATCGGGCTGGCGGGCTGGTGTCGGTATCGTTATTCATCGTCATCATCGTCCCTTCGGTCTGGGGTGGACAACGACAGGGCCAGTCCCGTTCGTTGGCTCCGTATCTACAGAGCAGAGTAGGACGATATATAGGGATGATATGTGGAGAACGATGAGACCAATCGACAGACTGGCAATGTCCACGGAGAAAGTGCGACGGAAGACCGGCGTCAACGGCACTGAATGGAGGGGAGAGAACATGGGGCTGGCGGAGTGGGGGGGGGGAGAGGGGTGGGATATGGCCGATCATCGGGGAAGGGAGGAGGGGAGGGAGATGGAGAGGGGAAGGGGAAGGGGAAGGAGCTACGGTAGCTACTAGTACATACAGTACAATTACCGGTAAATGTTCATTCATTCATTCATTCATGCTTGCTTGCTTGCTTACATACATACATACATACATACATACTACAGACCGACCCATTCCCTTTGCGGAGCACACCGCACACCCACCTTAGATATACTTTGCTGCCCCTCCAAACCTCCTCGACCAGCTTTTCTCTCTTCCTCTCTTCCCCCCTTCTCACTGTCTCACTGTCTCACCGTCTCACCGTCTCGCTGTCTCGCTGTCTCACCGTCTCACCCACCCACCCACCCACCCACTCATCCTCTCACCCATTCACAATGGCTCCAGCCAGTACTCGATCTTCGTCCATCTCGTCGGCGTCGACAACCAGCTCCAGCTCCAGCTCCAGCTCCAGCTCCAGCTCCACCCCCACCTCCAGCTCCACCCCCACCTCCATCTCCAAAGACGCAGATGCGCCGCCCACGAAAAAGAAATTCGCTTGCAGCTTCCCGTCCTGTGGAAAGTCCTTCTCCCGGTCCGAACATCTGCATCGCCATGCCCTGAACCACAAGGACGGTAACAACACCTGTCAGAGGTGTAGCGCGCATTTCCGTCGGCGGGACCTGCTGGGTGAGTACAGTTCTGCGATCGAGCCATCGATCGGGGGAACCCCCCGCCGCTGACCGTAGGCGCAGACAGACACATGGCCCGCCACAAGGAGAAGGACGACGAGGCCGGAGGGGAGGGGCTCGGCTTTTTGGCGACCAGAAAGAGGCTGTGGAGGGATGCCGACGGGAGCATCGTCAATGCCCGCCGGCCATCTTCCACACACTTGCAGGACAGCGCCAAAAGGCGACAACTGAGCCGTGGTAGTCGCAAAGACTCCAGCTCCTCCAGCGCCCCGGACCACGCCCCCGCCTCGCAGTCCCTCCTCACACGGCCGATTCCCATATCGCGAACAGGCTCGACCACCGCCTCTTCCACCATCGTGGAGGGCAGCGGCACCGCGCCGCCGCCACGGTTAGACCGCCCGGCGGCTGCGGAAACGGCATGCAAGATATCCGAAGTCGACGAGGACAGTCAGCCGAGCTGGCTCAAGCTCCCGACTCTGCCCTCGCCCCCCATCTCCGAGCCGCAGTCGGCGATGCAGAGCCCCAGCCCGGAACTATCCGACCTCGACACGCTGTACGAAGACTCGTGGCCGGTCATGCACCACGGGCTGCCCGAGATCGTCAACCACAGCCCGATCATGGGCCGCCAGTCGGAATACCCCGCGAGCCCGTCCTGGGGGCCTCAGCCGTTCCAGACGTTCATGGGCGCCATGGCCGAGCTCTCCTACGACGACATCTTCAGGCCCGAGACGGGGCTGTACGATTGGCAGGCCTGGAACAGCCAGGTGCTGTCGAGGTGTCGAGAGGAGAAGTTTGAGCCGTTTGCGGAGAAGAGGGAGAGGGAGTGGAATTTATACCCCGGGCAGGATCAGGCGCCGTTCAAGAGGACCTTTGGACTGGGAACGTGCTAGGCAGAAGAAAGACGTCTGGGGTCCGAGCTAGTCATCAGGATGGAGCATCTAGAATCAGTCACCACATTGGAGCCACGCTCGTGGGCCCATCGACTGTCGGCCCCGTCGGTCGGTCTACCTTCTTCACCGGGTCGTGTTGCAGATATCTCTGGCACTCGGCCGCGAAGGCGAGCTGAAACAAAATAACGTGTTATGCCCTTCAAACCAGAATGACCGTCGACGGTGGTGTGCAAGTGACCACCAGCTGGCATGCATCTCGTCGCCTTCGCTTTCGCCTTCGCCACCTTGCCCTGCACCTCTGCTCTAGCTCGCTGTGGAAGGTGCAACAAAATATATTTACGTAGAAGGAAGCTAGCTATCTAGATATATATATACAAAAGGGTACCAAAGTTATACATCAAAAGTGAATGATTCCATCGAATCACGTGATTAGTAACCACCGGAGCCGCGTTGGGGGGTCGATGGATAAGGGGTTGATGGATAACCAGTTCCATAACCTTTTCCAGTAGTACTTCCAGAAGCACTTCCGGAAGCACCCCCAGAAGCACCCCCAGAAGCACCTTTTCCAGTAGTACTTCCAGAAGCACCTCCAGAAACTCTTCGTCCACCCGTCTTGTAGTGTGCAGCCTTGATGATATCCGCTGCCTTCTCCGCCACGGAATACACCGTCGTCATGGTGTGAGACGCCGGCAAAATCGGAATCACACTGGAGTCGACAACCCTCAGTCCCTCCACACCGTACACCTTGAGCTGGGTGTCGACCACACCGCCTTGGGCTCTCGCACCCATCTTGCACGTACCAGCCGGGTGATACAAGGTCGCGGTCGACGCTTCGAGGAACGCGTCGAGGGCTTCATTGCTCGTGACATCGCCACCCGGGACGATCTCGACGGGTTGGAGCTCGGCAAACCCACGAGCCTTGACGAAGCGGCGCGCGAAGGAGATACCCTCGCGGAGGAGGGCCTTGTCGAGCGGGTTGCGCAGGAGTCCCAGGTCGGCGACGGGGTTGTCAAAGGGGCTTTTGGATGTCGCCTTCACGCTACCACGCGAGTATGGGTGTTGCAGGCCGAGAATAACGACGCCGTGGTCGACGATCACTTCGATGATAGCCGCGTCCGTGGCGAGCAGCTTCTTGTTCAGCAGGGCGTATTGAGCCGCGTAGCCCTTGGCGACCTCGGCGGGAACGTCGGCTGGCAGCGACACCGAGGGGGAGCCGGCGGCGGCTTGCTTGGCCATGGCGGCCGAGTTATTGCCCATCATCGAGAGCGGTAGGAACATGAGGAAGTCGGCCGTGGGAGAGGCCAGGGGACCCGTGCGCTCCGAGTCGTATTGCTGTCTGGCTTCCGCCAGCTGGGTGGCATTGCTGGTTAGGCTGTTCTGGATGAAGGGAGCAGTGACTGCGAGTTGTTCTGTTAGCCATCATCGGCGCCCACCGATACGGCATACGGGGGTACTTACTCGTATTAACGAGAACAATAGAGACGTGGTCGTGCAGGTTGTGTCCAACGGCGGGAAGATTTACCACAGTCGATATGTTCAGGGATTTCAGGAGAGTCGCATCACCAATGCCAGAATGTTGGAGAAGCTGCGGCGAATGAAGTGCTCCGGCAGCGACGATGGCTTCCTTCTTGACAGATACTTTCCGTACTGGACCTTTGGCAGAGGCGACAAACTCGACCCCGGTCACCTTGACAGCTCCCTTTACTCTTTTTGTCACGATCTTGGTAACAGCGTTGCCGGTCAAAATGTGGTAGTTTGCTCGACTGGAGGCAGGTGAGTAGTAAGCCTCTTCAGCTGATTGGCGGGTAACCTCGACAGGATCCAAGTTATGAGGGCAGAAGTAGCCACCAAAGGCGCGTCCGCTTGCCTGGTCGTTGATGGGAATACCCATCGCCTTTGCGGCTTGCACAGTGTTCTCTAGATTCCGTGTCAGCCATCGTGTCGCACATCTATCTCCACGTAGGAACGGGTCTGCTCACTGGTATACGGCCAGAACCAAGGAGAGAAGGTGGCTTGGATCGGGCCGGATTGACCATAGAATTCCGGAGAGTAGTTGAGGTCCGGATACTCAGTCGTGATCTCGCTATTCGGTGGTGACATGGTCTCATACTGTACAGTCGTTAACCCTGGAGTTCGTCTCGTGTTCACCGCATCCACGCACCTTCTTGTAGTATGGGAGCATCGATGCGAAATCCCAGCCTTTGTTGCCCAGGGCCGCCCAACCATCGAAATCGGATCGGGCACCACGGTCGAAGACCATGCGGTTCAATTTGGTCGATCCACCCACGACTTTCCCTTGGGGGATCGTAACTACCCGGTCCGCCAAATTGGGTTGGGGGGCATAAGTGGTGTTCCAGTCGTACTTGGTTCCGACTGCTCCACCCGCCAGCCCAGGAATCGTGGTATAATCCTCATCCAGGTCGCTATACCGAGGGTCAGCCTTTGCTACATCGTCAAGGAAGGATATGGGGTACTTGCAAGTCACCGGCCTCGATTATCAGGACCGTGGCCTCTATTTGGAAAAGTCGGTTAGGAACGTCGCAAGGTCGGAGGGGGAAGAAAGGGGGTTCGGGAGGTGGCTACTACTAACCTGGCACTTCGGAGAGTCGGTTGGCAACGGTCAGGCCTGCTGCTCCACCACCGACCACGACGAAGTCATAGGCGGGAAGCAGCTCAGCTGCCCTTTCGATTATTTTCCCATTGAAGAGCGGGTGCGCGAGGGATGGTGTGGCCGAGATGGCGAGGGTCAGCGACCAGACGTTTAACCTAAAGAGTGAAGGCATTTTGACTGCGTTCTCAATCGCGTTTTCTCAACTGCGCCCAAAGATGTTCTGCTTTTTTTTTTTCTGCAACTTTGGAAATATCTGCTGATATATATATTGATTGCGCCGCGAGCGGCCTTGTACAACACTACCGGGGGGGCGAAGCATAATCCAAATGCCGGTTCTTCGCCACGGGTTTCTGCCTAGAAATCTTACACTAGACGACGCAGGCAACAGGTACTGGGGACCAAAAGTCAAGAAACTGCGCCAAAAGTCTCTTTTTTTTTTTTCTTTTTCTTTTTTCTTCTGACGTAGTCATATAGTAGCTACTTACCAAGTACTACGTATAGTACCCACTGCCTAGGGACTAGTTGTAAGCAGGATAGGTAGGTCGGTAAGGTCAGGTAAGGAGGTAACTCCGTACCCGACGGATACTTACGATCCTCTGCTGTCTTATCTAGGCGTATTTTGACTTTCTCTCTCTCTCTCCTTCTTAATTCTTCGTTTTTTTTTTCTCTTGTTGTTATTGTTATTGTTATTACTATTACTATGGAAGACGGAAGACGGAAGGGAAGGTGGCGCGCGCGCGAGAGATGTGCTCCGTCCGATGCAGGTCGTAGGATAGGGATGGTATGTACTACGTACCTACTACTGTACGGGCGGAGGTACTACCTCTGGCTAGCGGTCGTGTTTAACCGACCTGACCCATAACGGGGAACGAGTTTACCTAGTGGGGTAATACCCTCTTTCTTTCTTTTCTTTTCTTTTCTTTTCTTTCCTTTCTTTCCTTTCTTTCTTTTCTACATAGAAATGAAAATACCTTCGAAAGCCTCAATCGGGTACAGCCCGGTTGGATTGTGTTTTATTGTATTGTACTATTGGATCATACTATCGTATTGTACTGTTGTATTATCCTCTTGTCTCGATAATCAGCATACGTAGTCGGTCCCTCCTCCGTATAGAGTTACAGTGGAGCGACAGTGGAGTTGACAGTGGAGTTGACAGTGGAGTACGGAAAGGCAAGGGAGGGTGAGGCAAGGTACGTAGTACGAACAAGGTAAGAGATATAGCTCCGATCCGATGTGTATGCGGTATGTACGTAGTAGTAGTAGTAGTAGTAGTAGTAGTAGTACCTAGTACTGATACTGGTACTATACCTACTGCATGTACTCCGTAGGTTCGGAGATATGCCGCTGGGCCCAGCCTTAGCTCGCTAGCTAAGCAGCGAAGTAGCTAGCGAGCTAGCTTGTATCGGGAGCTGCGCAGGGCTGGGCTGGGCCGCAACACGGAGGATTGATTTGTAAGGGATGGCAGGAGCTGAGTAAGAATGAAGAGATGGGTGGAAGTGAGACTAGGCTTGATTTGGGGATGGGGATGTGGGGATGGGGATGGGGATGGGGATGGGGATGGGGATGGGGATGGGGATGGGGATGGGGATGGAGGAATGGATGGAGACGGCTTTTGCAAGCTGAAGGTTACTTTTGTCACTTTTCTTCTTGGGTGTGTCTAGCGATCATCGATCTATCTCTACCTTTTAGCTTGTTATGAGTTGCGGGTAATTTTTTGAGAAGAAGAAAAAGAATAGAAGAGAGGAGGATTGAGTTGGACGGTAAGTATGTAGTACCTACTACCTACAACTAGTAGTAGTACTGTAGTAGTACCTACCTACCTCGGCGTACGAACGTTAACATTAACTTTAAACGCTAAAGTGTAAATAGTGTCAGGTACTAGCTCCATACTCAGATAGGTAAGTAGATAGATAGGCTTGGGTGGGTGCCGGTGCCGGTGCCGGGTGGGATGAGTGAACGAGTGAGTAGGTAGGTAAGTGGGTTGGTTCGTCGTACTCCGACGGAGCGGAGCGGAACGGAAAACGCTACTACGGTGGGGGGGGGGGGCGGAGAGGGGGAGGGGGATTGGGGTTCGCTCATACTTAGTTGTCCTTAGTTACTATGTACCACCGGTACTTACTAGTGCGGAACGGACGACACGGAGGATAAGTGAGGTCCGAAGGGGGGGAGGGGAGAAGGATATTGAGTGTTTGGTTTGTTTGATCGTTGCAATGTGAGGGAGGCTTTGGGGGGATTGAGTTGGGTTGGGGACGGGCCGCGGCTGTTTGGGAGTTGTGATGTGTATGATCGTGATTAGTTAGCCGAAGGAAGAGTTTCTCAACTACTACTACTGCTACTTCTACTTAAGATGAGTGAGGATGGCTGACGCAAGCCGAACTTTGTTGACTTGTTTGATTGTTGGTTTTATCGCGGTCGAGTGTTTGGGCCTTGTTTCAGATGGATATACAATTACAAGTACTGCGCTTATCGGGTTGATCATCTGTTTACGGAATACAATTTGTTGTCTGTGGTCATTTTGCATTTTAGTTGTATTCACCTCTTGGTATCAAGCACTACTAGGAAGGTGAACGAACATATGCCTATTGTTGATTTGCCCTTAGAGTTTATGCGCGCGTTCCGTGCCGGCGAAGGGAAAAAGGGCCGCCGCATGCTTGCTACTGCACTGTACTCCCCCCATGAGTACTAGTAGTACATGTCGAAAGAATAATCTGGCAAGGGCTCTTGACCAGGGCTTAAACCAATAAACTCATAAGAATCCAGCCTCGAAAAGCATCTTGAGCTCAGTATTTAGTCTGTGCCATTGAGTTGACAGGGCTCTGAGCCATTCAGAAACCACCGCTCTCCGATTTATGGTGCTAGGCTGGGTCCGACACTTCAAAATCGGGGGAGTAGGGTCATGAATGAAGGGTAGGATCCCAAGGGTGGCACGACCCAAAACACTGCAAAAGTCTATCGGTCAGTGCCACCCTTGAGATCGGTGGGATCCTCCCCTTTATTCACGATGGATAGGGGTCTAGGTACTCGTCAGGTGCTCTCAAAGTTACCGGGAAGTCGAATCCAAGGCTTCCGCTCGACTCCGCCTTCTTGTTTACGGCTAGTTGTACGTACTGTAATTCAACTATCGGTGTATCAGAACGGAGCAAGACCAGATTGATACATTTTCAAAGAGGAGGATCAGACACAGTAGCAGGCTTTATCTTGTACTTGGTTGTACTATATTACCCTCTCTACCATGACGGATAAAACCTACTCAATCCTATCTCGCTAGTATAATGTATTAAGCTTGCATGTTTTCTTTCCCTTACTCTCCGTTAAAATCATCTACGATTATCTAATCTTTATCCTTCAAATTCAAGATCTCGGATCACTATATAACCGTGCTGCTAAGCACCGTCACTCTGTCTTGGTGCGGACGGAGATTAGCCACATGGCTACAATTCTTCTTTCATCTTGGCCGCTTCCGTACAGACTTCTCGGCTTTATACGTAGAGAGAGTACACGTGTTTAGCCCATGATACTTTCCAATTCGTCTGATCATGCATGGTACAGGTGCAACGTTTTCTCCCTGCATATTCTTCTTTTCTATTCTTTCCACCTTCTGAACCTCAAGAGCCTGAGAGTCAGTGCGCTGCTTTTTATCAGTCGAGTAGTCGCTTGCTTCCTTACGTGATAAAAGGTCAGATCCAGTTCCCCCCCGCGGCTTACGTCCAGCTAGTAGAACGGCAGCTTTACATTCTGAATGGCGAACAGCTTTATCACCACTATTGCACGGATCGAATACCTATCCACTTACCTGCTCAAAAGGCCGACTCGGTTTACGATAGATTCTATGATGCCGAAAACCGCGCGCGCGTACCAACTCTGTTATACAAACCGATCTTTACAATTTAGATCTGATACGTTTTAACCCTCGCTCGCTTAGGTCGGCCTCCTATCATAATACAGGACTACTGAGTAGTACTCAAAACTACTACGTAGTAGTAGTATACACTGTAAACTCCGCGCCGGCGTCCTTAATAAAAAAACCTCCGAAACTCAAATCTTATATACTCCGATACAGCCGAAACGAAGTCTAATTTAATCTCGGGGACTGAGCTTTTGGGATCTTGGATTCCGATAGGACGGAGAGGGGACTGTTTTCTCCGATGTACATCGAAGATTCGACGCCTTTTCAAGTCGATACCGGCTAAATCGTCGGTTTCGCCTCCTGTTATATGGGCCCCACACCTCCAACAGCCCCCTACTGTACAGTAGTACATACTACGTATGTAAGTCGCAGATACTGGACGCTTACGTAATCTCAGCTTATGCTTGACCGTTAGTATTGCAATAACGTCTTAAGATGCTAAAAGTTGCTTGCATTTATAACTAGAATAATAAAGATCGAACGTTCTGGATCTGACTTTAGAAATTATTGATTGTAAGACGGCCCGTCATCCATACCTGCTTTTCACCGATTTCGCTCAATCAGGTGAGGTACAACCAAAAGTGAATTTCAGCCAGAAGATCATATATGATACAGTTTTGGACTTGATAATTGATATTTAAGCAGCCACCTCTTTCGAAGCCTCTTTTATATGATCAACGCTGTTCAGAATTACGACGGCATATCGAAACAACATTTATTTTCACTTATCGGATCTGAACGCATATAAGGACATTTTGAATATGTTTAAAAAAAAAACAAGTTGTAATGGAAATTCGAGCTTGATAATAGTCAGTGCGCTGATTTTTACCTGCGTGCTCTCGATAACAGTCAGGACAAGCAAGTGTCCCATCTTAAATAATATGCAAAATCGAGTTAAAAATCATTAAAGACTATAAAAAATCCCGGTTGGGACCGTAAATAACTTTATGGCGCAACAAGCTATAATAATCAAAGTTATATTTACGTATCCGCGTTACGATCTTCTATTAGATTATTAAGTATTAAATATGTATATCAAATATTATAATATCTATTGCGTAAGAAATTAGTTTTTTTGTAACAGTGAAAACTCGTAGCAAGCTTGCAGCTTATCGACTAATTAGCTTCGGAACATCAAAATATCAGCTAAGATTAATGCGATTTGCAGCTCGAATAAGTCAATAACGCAAGGAGTGATAATATGGAAAAATAGATGCACGAAGTATAGCAATCGAGGTCTATTTAATTATCGAAATTTTTGATATATATAATTATTGTTAAATGCAGCTGATATCGTAAAATATGACTTTTTTTCAATTGGAAATATGTGAAATGGGACACTTGCTTGTCCTGACTATTACCGAGAGCCCGCAGGTAAAAGTTCGCCGACTGACTATTAATTGATAATTCAATGACAAATGTTTGCAGAGCCTTTCTAACATGATCAAACTTTGTCCGGGACTATTACGCGATTCTAAGTATACCTATCCTAAATTCTATAAACGAAGCGTGGACGCAAAAAGCTATTTACTTCGTTCAATTTGTAATTTCATTCTTGCAATTTTTGATCATCATTGAAGAGTACATGCTCGTCGGATTACATCATACTGCGGCGTAAATTTTTAATTTTGTTTTTTTTTTTAAAAAACAAAGGAAAGAAAAAAGAGATATACAATCGCGAATCTCTTGAAGAAAAGATTATTAGTAATAACAAGTAATATTTATTCAAACCTTATAAAGTAGTAAAAGAAGGGCGATAGATCAACAGATTGCAAGTGGAGGGTCATATTGCGCGCTGCAACCAAGTACAAAGGTAACTAACTGGCATAGCGAGCGCAATTCCTTCTTACCTCCCTTTGTAAGAACCTATATAAGAACCTGTTCTTTCAAAGCGTCCGTTGCTTTTTTTAACGTGTTCGTTTTCTGAAGGCATCTTCAGACACTTCGGCTATCATACTAGCCTCGATTTATCTGATCGTGAACGCGCTCGATTAGAGCTTTTGTAAATGGACCCCGCTTTAAAGAATCGCCTACCCGATTATAATTCTATTCCTTTACCTATCGATCTAGAGTTGCTTGCAGCAGAAGCAAAAGCTGGAGGTACGCATGCAGCGCACACGATAAGTGAAAAAGAAGGGGTTTTTTTTTATTAGAGCTTAGTTTGGAATTGAATTTGGGTGCTGGTTCTACCACACTTTCTGAATTTAACAACACTACGAGTTTTGTATTAAAGATATATTATTTTACAGATCTAGATTCATGGATATACATGTACTGATATGGTCCAGGTCTTTTGGCTATCGAGCTGTTCAGCGCTTAGTCTAATAGCCGAAGCCTTTACTTTATAGGCTTAAGTGCTCTAGGAAAACAAACACTTCAAGAAAACGGATACTAAAAAAAAAAAAAAAAAAAAAAAAAAAACCCAAGATCTTTATGAAGGTCTTTATGAAGGGGGGTAAAGAGGGGAAGGGCGGCCCAGGCGATTAGTAGAGGGTTATTGATAGTGTGGGACCTATGTAGAAGAACGCGAACCGACGATAAGTAGTATCAGGCTTCGGTGAAGAGCTCTCTGGTTTTAGCCCACAAAGGAGCAAATCATATGCTATTACGTCAAATGATCTTCTTTTAGTGGCCACCCCCGTACACCTACCGGTAGCCGCCTGGACGAACGCTTTTACTACGGTCCAGCACTAATCCTCGGTTACCTTTCATTTAATTCGAAGGAAATGGCCGACTTATTACATACAGACTTGCTGTAGCAAGTCGGCACCACCAAGGCGGGGACACTTGATCTTGCCTTTATAAATTCGATAGGTAGCAAAATCAATCACCTAGCATATCGATATTACTATAGGATGAAAAGATGCACCGTATTCATAATAATGATTGTGAATCAAGACAGTTTAATTTATATATAGTTGTTCTATTGTTTTGGTGGATTAAGGCCGTAAATATAGTATTTTTGATATTGGAGGTCCGTGTGCCGTCTTTGCGTAAGGTACCACGGTAGCTTCAAAAGTTTAGTTTCCACTTTAAACCCCCTGGTTTCCCTACCCTCGAGGGGTAATACTTACGCCTGGGACGTAGAATATATCAAAATTGCCGTGTAAATACTAAAATAAGCGAAGAATACGAAAATAGGACTTCTTTTTAAAAATAAATTTACGTTCCCATCAACTTTCATTCAGTAAAGACTTCCTTTGAGAATTTTATGAGATTAATTATTCTCTTACCAAGCTATCAGGTTTTTTTTTTAAAAAAAGAAATTTAAGTTGTGGTTATCAAGATGTTCAAGCAGAACGAATAAAATTTGATACTATATTTTCTTTACATCGCAATCTTTTAACTTGCAATGAATAGATGCATCTTTATATCTATGATGTAGTTTTGTATAGCAATCTTTCCTGAGCATATATATATATATATATATTTGTCATTATGTTTCTCTTAATAGTTATAGTTGAACAAGTGTTTTCATAAAAGTATTCAGCCTTGGTGAGTGTCCCACCTTGGTGAGAGACCTTGGTGGTGCCGACTTGCTACAGCAAGCCGGCCATGTCCTTCGAATTAATTTAAAAAAAACCGACGATGAGTTCTTTCGTCGAGTAATGGCTAGTACCTTTTAGTCTTCGACTTCAATCGACGGAAAGGTAGTAATGGGCCAGTGATGGACCAGTAATAGACAAGGAACGGATTTTGAATGAGACGAGTTCTAATGTACGATTGACGAGCCACTTTCTTTTGATTCTATTTCATTTCGGCTTTCCAACAATATTCCAACTCATATAATAAACGGTTTCCCTCGAGTAGTCGTACAGCTCTCTCTTTGTTTCCCAGCACTCAGCCCATAAATCTAACTGATTGCTGTTTACCACTTCAGTGGGAATGATCATTTGCAGCAATTCATTTCTATCTGGATCAAGTAAGGTGACAGGTAGGAAGCGCAATGTTTTTTCCGGGTCTAACTTTTTTGATCTGATGTATGACTTGACATCATGTTCATTTCCGGACCATAAGGGGATCACCTGGACCGACTTAATCCAATTAACTTGTTGGTAGTCTTCTGGGATCCATAATTTGCTTGCAGAATTGAACTTTTTTCTATCCGCTTCGATAACACAGTACCATTCGTCGGGAGCACCCGGCCAGCCAGCAGGTACGTTTACTATTGAGAATATTAGCTCCGCGTAACAAGTGATGATCTATACAGAGGTACAAAGGTTACATGTTACACTTTGTTCTGATCCACTACGGAAACTATGTATCGTTGCGTTTAGCAGTACGGAGCGAAGTCCGTAACGGTATTGCCTAATTAAGCAAACTAGTTTCCGTAATGAATCAAAACAGGGGAAATATGTAACCGCTTTACTCCCATGAGTATAAATCGACTTACCTATGTTAAAGCCAGGTCCAAATTGATTAAACAGCAGAGCCATGAGATCGAAATCCGTATCTCTATAAAGCTTATTGTTTTTATTAATGAAATCTGCTTCCGCCTATTATTCGCGTAATCAGTAAAAGCTTCCGCGATACTCCGTACGGATATAAGTTAAGTGAAACTTACTCTGGAAACTGTTCGGTAGCCAATAATTCTTCTATCGTCTTTTCCTTGAGCGTTACCAAAAAGAAAGCTCGAGGCCAGCAAGGTCGAGCAGATAGATTGCGATAGTCGCATTGTGTTTGTAGATAAGCGTTGTGATTGGTGCAGGGCAAGTGGGGGGAGGCGAAACCGCGGATTATCCGAAGTAGTCCTGAAGGCTTCACCGTACTCGAAAGTCTTTCGACAATGCGAGCTGATAACAGAGGAAAACTTTGGGGAGGAAGAGGAAGATGGATCGAACCCATGATAGGTGCAAGAAGAGATATTTATCTTCGTTATCATATCCATCTTACTAATAATAGCAACCGTATGGATTTCCACGTCGGCTATAAATAATATAATCGCGCGGCTGATATATATATATTTTTTAATCTTACATCGAAGATCATCCTTCAAGCTCGCTCTTCTCAACTCTTATTCCCAAATGTAAAGTCGAATTTAAGCTCAGCTAGCTATTCATAGTACTCTTGCAATCCTCTTTTCTGATTTGAAAAGATTAACGTGATCGTGCGCCAATAAGGCAAGTTGTTTCTGCCAAGGGGGAGAAAAAACACGTCTTCTAATGCGTAATATATCTGAGAAGGACAGGAAAGCAAACTGCAATCAATACATCAACTTATTTTGGCCGCTACTTATTCCTACTACTTGCAAAAGAGCCTCGACTTCTGAAACTATCGCTCAATTAGACGCGCAGCTTGCGTGCGACTACCGACGATATATTTGAAGATCTCGCTTCTCACGTAGACCAGATCCGATCTTCTACGCTTATCAAGAAAAGCTTCTTCCGTCCGAGGTTTAGCAATGTATTGAGTTTGGTTGAGTCGAAGACGCCAAGACTTTTGCCTAAGAAATGTGAAAGATCAAGGGCAAGGCAGGCCTGGCGATCAGCGCCCGTATTTGATAATGGGATTTGACGTAGTTTTTATAATATTAGATTGCAAAGTAACTATAATCTTATAAAACATATTTTTTCTAATTAAATCTTCATTTACGTACTTTGATAAAAGTCGATTTTTTTCGTATCTGGAAATACAATTAATGATATGCTATTATAGATGTTATCCAAAGCTGTAAGCTGAATATATTATCATATCGTTTTGTACGAGATTTTTTTTTTACCATTCGCACGCAAACTTTGACAACGCGCAATATCAAATACGCTTTTCGAAATGGTAGAGCATGGCTTCTTAATTTCTTTTAAATTTAATAGAAGTTAAAAGAACATAGAAGAACACAAAAATAAAACAGAGTTTGCATATGCACCAATGTAATGAAATATTTACAAAGAAAAACGGAATTCCTCTTTCGAATAATAAATCATTTAACGAATGACCACGGTACAGGCCTAAGTGTTACCCCTCGAGGGTGCCTCAAAAGTTTGGTTTCCACTTTAAAGCCCCTGGTTTCCCTACCCTCGAGGGGCAATACTTACGCCTGGGATACCTCGAGGGGTAATACTTACGCCTGGGACGTAGTATATCCCCCCCCCCGTCCTCCAGCACCCCAAGTCTGGCCAGAAACACCTTCCAAGTCCAACGCTCCGGCGCCGTGTCCGACGCAAACCCAATAGTAACATTCTCGCTCCTCCCATCGTCGACCCTGCCCCTTATCGCATCAGGCATCTGTACCCCACACCGATTGAGCTCGAACGTAGCGAAAGAAGCGCTGCTGAGATGGCGCAACGATGTGAATGCCTGCTGGCCAAGTCGCCGCCAGTCCGTACAGTAAGTGTATCTTGCGAAGTCAAAGAGAGAGTTAAAGAGAGAGAGAGAGGGAGGGAGTCCAACATTTGAACCATCGGATTTCCGAGGGTCGGGTGGGAATCGAGAACTTTACCAACAAATCTACGACTCGGGATATCGCCTCTACAGTAGCTTCCCGATCCTCCAGCACGCTCACGCTCACGCGCACGCGCAGGTGCCAGCCACGCGGGGGCCGGCTCCGCCTCTGGTTCCCCCGCTGTGGCTCTTCTCCGGTTGACACTGGCTATGCTTGTCTCTCTGATGATGTGGACCTCCGCTTTGCAGCTATCATCCATCACCAGGAAGGCGGTCGTGGTGCGAAGAAGAGCGGGCGCTGGTAGTAGGCGGCGTGACTCTGAAGTTGTCCTTTTAGAGATCTCAGATACGTTGTACGGTTGATTGATCTGCTGGGGGAAGTAAGCGGGCGAGACTGTGTCGGTCTGGAACGGGGGTAGCGTTTTTGCTGGTGGAGGATATTTCGTATATGAGGTGGTTCAAGGGGAGTGGGCAAGGACTCTCCAACTACTTTTTTTCTCCCTTTTTTTTTTTTTTGGCTTAGTTTAATTCCTCGTAGCTGAAAGAAAGCAAAGCAAAGACAGCTCTGCATAGATTTGTTTTGCCGTCGTATGTTGCTACAGTGCTGCGAGACACATGTTCCATAAGGGCCATCCATCTTCTTTATATATATGTAGTACATACCCTACCGCGGTTCGCACATCTCGGATCTGCTCTCGAAAAGCAGCTTTTCCCTGATAGTGGTGCCATGTGAAAGATCAGACGTTGTTCCTCTGCTGGTGGTTTATCACGCCACTGAGATGCGAGTGCCATTTCGTCAGTCCACCCACTCACTCTTGCTTGCGTCCTTCTTTCCAAAAGCATGTCTTCTCTCGTCTCGGTAGGCATTTGACACGGTTTTAGTCAACAGCTCTTATATATATATATATATTAGCCTTCACTGCCTTCCGATTTCCAAAGTCTGAAAATCGCGAGGTTCGTGGCGTATAAGACAGAACAGCCCGGACGTCCGCCGTGCATGTACATGTACATATATGTAGGACACCCGCCCCGGGTGTCTCCTCCTCTTATATGTCAGCTTCGTAGCAGATCGTTGCCATCGCCTTTTCTTCTGCGGGTTTTGATGATCCAATGAGAGGCTTGGTTCCAGCGAGGAGGCAATACATGCGTACATATATGGCTGCCAGGTTTTGCAGCATGCGAGTCTCAGAAACAGCAGCCACTACTACGGCAAAAGCCCACTCCAACAAGCTTCAAGAACAATGGCATCTCTAGTAGAATTGGCAAATCGTGTCCAGATCGCAGCCGAAGACGTCTCGTCAGGCAAGACGAGGGATAATCTGGCGCTGCTGAGAGGGATTCGAAACTTGAACCGTGTTGCGGAATCGCCTACGGATCGATTGAGGCGGGTTCTTTATCAGGTATAGTCGCCCTTCTGAAAGTTCAAGACCGAGGTTGACGATGAGGGAAAGACGGTGCAAAATGCTGTCGTGCGTCTAGCTGTTGAGATTAAGTTGCCGCACTCTCTGGCTGCAGCGAAGGAAATGAGTGCCACGGAGCTCGCACTAGGATCCGAGGCGGATAGGGTGCTGGTCGGTATGTGATCCGCCGGATCGGCTTCTTGAGAAATATATCAATGACTTGGGGGGCTGGCCTCCAACTGCATGGGCTAATGGGCTACTGTGCAGTTCGATTGATGCGGGTCTTGGTTGCCATGGACATTGTTGATGAAGTGGGAGAAGAGCAATACAGGTCGAATGCAACAACCGAAGCCCTCGCTTCCCCTACATGGACCGGAGGCACCAGATTCCTGTAAGTCGACCAAATTCCCCGCAGGCAGTACGGGGTAGCCGTCCCCAATATCCAGATGTGCATGGACGGACCATGAACTTACCAATCCGGCGACTTAGGCACGACACGCTGGTCCCCAGCTTCGCCACACTCGTCGACTACTGGCACCAAGCCGGCTTCTGCCCGAATGAGGGCACGATCTTCGAGTTCGCCTTCAAGCAGGACTTCTGGACCTGGCATCGCGAACGGCCGTCTGCCCACAACGACTTCCTCGTCTACATGCGTGGCCGCAAAGACGGGAGCCCGCACTGGCTCGACTACTTCCCTGTCGCGTCCCAGATCGCTCATTTGAGCCCCGAACCGGATGCCGTGACGCTCGTCGATGTCGGGGGGAACCTGGGCCACGACGTGAAGCTCTTCCAGCAGCGGTGGCCCGACATCCCAGGCCGCTTGGTGCTGATGGACTTGCCGGAGGTGGTAGCCGGCAACACAAACGTCCTTGAGGGGATTGAGAAGGTGGCGTATGATTTCTTTCAACCGCAGACAATCATCGGTGAGCTTTCTTGTCCCTTTTCTCTTCTCTCTCCTCTTCCATCTCTCTCCTCTTCCATCTCTCTCCTCTTCCATCCCTGCCCTCCCTCTCTTCCTCCCCCAAGCTAAAAGAAGAAAAATCATCGCCAACCAAGGCGCCAAATTCTACCTCTTCCGCGCCATCTGCCACGACTGGCCCGACAGAGACTGCATCACCTTCCTCCGCAACACCGTGGCGGCCATGACGCCCGGCTACTCGCACCTCCTGATCAACGAGCAGGTCCTCCCCAACACCGGTGCGGACCTGCACCCGGCGCTGCTGGACATAACCATGATAGCCTACTTCCGCGCCATGGAGCGCACCGAGCGGCAGTGGCGCTCGCTGCTCGCGGCCGTGGGCGACGTCGCCATCGTCGCCATCTGGAGGCTCAAGCACGCTGGCGGGGGCACCGAGGCGGTCATTGATTGCGTGCGGAGGTGAGAATGTGCGTATGTGTGAGTGTGTGAGTGTGTGAGTGTGTATATCCTCTCGGCTGTAGAAATACCACGTGATACAATCAAACCACAACAAGGAAGGAATCTGGGAATCTGGGAATCTGCATTCGTGTCTGTCTGTCTGTCTGTCGGCTCCACGAACTTTCGTGTGTCTCCTCAACTCATATCCCTCCCCCCTTTAACTATACGCCCAGCCCAGCCCAGCCCAGCCCAGCCCAGCCCAGTACATAGGTATCTACCCACCAGTATCTCCCCCTCGACAAAACCAACCAAACAAACAAACAAACCAAAACAAGCTAAATAAGCGAGCTAAGCTAAGCAAGCCGAGAATGATCCGCCAAGAGAGAAAGCAGCTGGCAATAGGTACCTACCTATTTACTTACTTACTTACTTACCTTAATCTTATCTTATCCTCTCTTCTCCTCTCCTCTCTTCTCCTCTCCTCTCTTCTCCTCTCCTCTCCCCTCCTCTCCTATCCCCTCCTCTCCTCTCCTATCCTCTCCTAACCTATCCTCTATCTAAATAATACTTCCATCCCATCCCATCCTATCCCATCTCATCTCATCCTATTACACATACTCACCTATCCACCTACATACTCACCTACTCACACACCCACACACCCACTCACAATACCCACCACCCTCGAATCCCCACCCCGAAAAAAAAAAAAAAAAAAGATTCATCATCATCATCATCATCATCATCATCATCATCGTCGTCATCTTTCCATTTCCATTTTTCATTATTTTACCTCTCCCCTCCTCCGTATTACTTGGTATTACTTCCTATGGATTACCTCATCTACCCCGATTTATTTCCATCTTCATCTACGCTGCAGCCTCATCTACGCCGCAGCCGGCAAGGAAGGGATGCTCCGGTCATAGCAGCCAGCCCAGCCCCCTTCGGCCCTTCGGGGCTTTCGAAGAGAGAGGTGAAAAAAAAAAAAAAAAAGGACGCCCCCGCCCCCAACTCCGAGGATAAACATTAACAGTAAACTGTGCCACACCGTGCCCATATGTACCTCGTGTGCATGTCCGTATGCCCTTCATATGTATTCCCTTAACCTGTCAAGCCTGAACGCCTCGCCATGCCATGCCATAACCATGAAAAGAACATCAACCTCACACCGCCCTCCGTTCGCCATTCCGCGCCCTCAAAAACTCCAGCCCGGCTCCTCCGCAAGACTATCGGTTCTTGCCTAGACTCTGAAGGTTGACCAGCTCGGAATATCTCGCGCCCTTACTCATGAGTTCATTATGCGTGCCGGACTCAACAACAACCCCCTGATCAAAAACGTAAATCACGTCCGCCTTCTGGATCGTGGACAAGCGATGCGCAACCGCAATCGTCGTGCGTCCCTTCGCCGCCTTGTCCAGCGCCGCCTGTACCACGTGCTCGCTCTCGGAATCCAACGCGGATGTGGCCTCGTCCAATAACAGAATAGAAGGATTTCTCAGTAGTGCGCGGGCGATCGCAATGCGCTGCTTCTGCCCCCCGGAAAGCATGGAGCCTTTAGAGCCAACAACGGTCGAAAAGCCATCGGGCAGCGACATGATGAAATCGTAGATGTTGGCCTCGCGACATGCGAACTCGATCGCCGCATCGGGGACATCGCCTTCGGCTTTATCAGCACCCAGAAGTATGTTCTCCCGAATCGTGCCCTGGTAGACCGTGGGCTCCTGCGAGACGAGTGCGATGTAGGAGCGGTAGTCGTTGATGTTCAGCGACGAGATCTCCTTGCCGTCGACGTAGATGCCACCGACCAGGGGGTCGTAGAAGCGCTCGAGGAGTTGGATTGTCGTGGATTTGCCGCAGCCAGAGGCCCCGACAAGAGCCACGTATTGCCCCGGAGCGACGGTGAGGTTGAGGCCGCGGAGAACGGGCTGATCGGGGCGGGTTGGGTAGCGGAAGTGGACGTCGCGGAATTCAATGTTGCCTTCGCAGGATGCGAGGCGGGTGCCATCTTCGGACCATGGGTCGATGGTGGGTTTGCGATCGAAGAGGTTCTTCAGTTCTTGTGCTGCTTGCTTGGCCTTGCCCATATCCGCTAGGTAATGTCAGATGCGAGAGTCAGAAAAAGGAAACGAGTACTTACGTGCGAACGAGAAGATGGTACCGGCGGACTGCGCACCAAAGATGATGGACGAGAAGCAGACGAAGAACTGGAATAGGCTGTATTCGCGATCGGCAATCAGTTGACCCCCATACCAGAATCCGAGCGCAACACAGGCGAACATGAGCGACTGAGAGGCCGCGTACAGCGTCGAAGATTTCAGAATCGAGTTCAGACTCTTCTTGGACTGCGCATTGATAGATTCCACGTAGATCTTGAGCACGTCCTCTTCTCTGGTGAGAGAAGCCAGGGTACGGATGGCAGTGCACGCCTCACAGGCGAAACTTGCACTCTTCTCGTATGCCTTCTTGGCTCTGCGCTGGAACTGAGCCAGCATCCAGAAACGGAAGAAACCGCAGCCGAGCAAGACGGGAATCGTAGATGTGCAGACCAGGGCGAGTTTCCAGCCGATGGCCGTACTGACCGCGATAGCCGCCACTAACGTGGTGATCACGGTGAGGAGCGTGCCGAGGGTGACGCCGGACAGACCGGCCACGTGGGTGGTCTCTGTGCTAAGAAACGAGGTCAGAGCTCCCGCAGTATTCTCCTCCTGGTCAAAGAAAGCGATGTCCTGACGCAGCATAGTACGGAAAGCCCGGTCGCGCACACGATGGATGAGTCTCTCGGAACAGTACGCGAAGGCGACACCTTGTCCACAGAATGCAATGAACTGCACAATGGCAAGCATCAGATACATGAGTGACCAGAAATCGACATCGTCGCGGAGGGTCCGACGAGCTCCGGGGATGGTCTCGCCCGTGGCTGGGTTGGTAAGAGGGATGGACAGAGAAATGATTTGCTTGGCAAAGAACACGGCTTGGACAGGGTTCCCTCCACCGCAGATAATCGAGAAGGCGAGCCCGGTGAGCATGAGTCCAATTTCGGTCTTATTGAACGAAGCGATGAGCATGATCAGAGTCCAGAGAGAGTCCTGCTGAGCGCCGGGGGTGTTGCGGCCCTGTAGTGCCAAGGATGACAGAGAGTTGCCGGTGGCAGAACGATTGAGCTTATCGCCGATGTTCTTGTCATCAGGATCCTCCTCGTATGCCAGGCTCGTGTTGGATTTTTGATGCACCAGCTTCTGTTCATGTGCCAGGATCTTGTGGGACTTTTCGCGCATGAGCGCATCGTCATATTGGTCCAGCTCGGCCTGTTCTTGCGGTGACATCTCCTGCGTGGCCGCGATCTTCTGTGCTTCCACCAGGTTGAAGTAAGCCCCTCGTTTCAACAACAGCTCATCGTGGGTTCCCTGCTCTACGATGCGGCCTTCCGTCATCACCACGATATTGTCGGCGTCCTTGATCGTCGAGAGACGATGGGCGATGGTGATGGTTGTACGTCCCGCAGCCGCAACTTCGAGGGCGGCCTGCACAACACCTTCAGACTTCGAGTCAAGGGCGGATGTACTTTCATCGAGAAGAAGAATCTTGGGATCGCTCACCATCGCTCGGGCAATGGCGATACGTTGCTTCTGGCCTCCAGACAACAAGAAACCTCGCTCTCCGACGTTCGTCTCGTAGCCCTCCGGAAGTCCGGTGATGAAGTCGTGAGCGTTAGCCATCTTGGCGGCCTCGAAGATGAGTTCCTTGCGGCGCTCCTCGCTCTCGTGTTCGTACTTGGTGCCGATCAATCCGTGCGCGATATTCCCGAAGATGGTGGTGCCGAAGAGCGTGGGTTCCTGGCTGACCAGGGAGATCTGCTGGCGTAACCAGCGGAGATTCAACGTGCTCACGTCGTGTCCATCCAGGAGGACTTGTCCGCCGACGGGATCGTAGAACCGCTCGACCAGCCCCACGATCGTGCTCTTTCCCGATCCGGAAGCCCCGACCAGAGCGGTCTTCTTCCCCGCTGGGATGAGGAGACTGACATCGCTCATGACCGTCACTTCCGGTCGCGATGGATAGATGTGCTTGATGTGGCGCAGCTCGATCGTCCCGTCCACGTGGTCGAGAATCGTGCCTTCGCTCGTAGTCGGGTCCAGTGGCGACTTGCGATCGATCGTGTTGAAGATCTTTGCGGCAGCTGAAATGGCCGTGGTGAACGCCTGGGCATTGGGAGCCACATTTCCGAGAGAGAAGGCACCGATCATGATCGACATCAAGATGGTCAGAATCTGCGAGAGACCAATCTCCCCTTTGACCAAGAACCTGCTTCCCATCCAGAAGGCCAATCCGTAGTTGAGGTAGATGACCAGGAACATGCCCGCGACCATAATCGCAAGCGTTCTCTTGACCTTGGAGCCATACTTCTCCGCGTTCGCCAGGTGGTTGTCGTATTGGCGCGCGAGCTTATCCTGGGTGCCGAACGCAATGGCATTCCGAACGGAAGAAATGACTTCTTCAGCGATCGTCCCTCCGGAGGCATACGAAGCCAGAGATTGCTTGCTGTACTTGATGATGAAATTGGACCCCGCGCCCATGACAGCGACAATGGCAAAGACGGTCGAAGTCAAGATCAGAGTCAGTTTCCAGGACTTGATGAACCCAATCACGAAGGCCGTGATAAAAGTAGCCAGCGCATTCAGCGTCAGGCCCACCTTTTCCGAGATGCCATCCTGCACCAAGTTGGTATCTGCCGTGATCCGGGTCGTAATCTCTCCGGAGCCCAGCTTGTCGAAGAAGGCAATGTTCTGCCTCATGCACGCCTCCAGGTAATGCGATCGGATCTTCCCGCTGATATGCTCCCCGGTATAGATGAAGCCCACGGTCGAGATGTAGATGGTGACGAATTCCGCAATGCCAATGTAGACGAAGTAGAGCACATTGTGGGTAATCAAGTGATCGAACTCGGCTCTCGTCATGGTGCCCGCGAAATATGAATTAAACTCGGCCGCAAGATTTCCAAACACCACCGTCATCAAGGGCAAGGCTGCCCCTGCGGCCACCGAGCAGATAGCGCTGACGATCATGATCAAGATGTCATTGCGTGTCGAGTACCGGTAGAGAGTCTTCCAACTTGCTGTGACGACGGGGATATCGATCTGCCGCTTGAGGATCTCTGCCTCGGCGGGCGGGAGGTGGGCAAAGACGTCTTCGTCTTTGACCGTGACTTTGGCGTTGGAGTCGAGTTTTGCGAGGGGGTTCGAGGAGAGCTTTCTTGCTTGGCCTTCAGCGAGGTGTTTGGTAGTGTTGGAGTCGCGGCCGTCAGAGGAATGGCCCCGACTCGATGCTTGATGCGATTCGGCCTGGGTCTTCTCTGGATCGCCAGCCATCGTCGGCGGCTTGCGGGATCGCGGTGGTCTGGGGTTGTGTTGTATTCAGGTCGGTCGGGAGGGAGGTCGGGAGGGAGGTCGGGGAGGAAGGGAGGGGAGGTCGATGCGTGTCGGTGATGAGGTGCGAGCAGGACTGAGGAGAAGGTGAAAGGTAGGATTCGGAGGTAGGAGGGGTGGTGGTAGTATTGTGTTGTGTAGTGTTTATTAGGCGTCGACGTATTGACTCTCTCCGCCAAGATTGAATTAATTAATTACAAAGAAAGAAAGAGAGATCTTGCTCGTGACCTGGGGAAGAAAGTGGTTTGGTTGACGGGGAGGTGGCGGGGCTGTACAGAACATGTAGTCGAAGGTGAAGTCGCCGTCGCCATGTCCCGTCGCAAGTTGTCAAACCCCGGCCGTTCGGGGGGGCGAAGAGAGTGGAGTAGATCGAAAGCACGGAAGCTAGATAAGCCGTGCCGAGCCCTGCTATTGTATGCTTATTTTTCTACTGTAGAACCGGGATCGGATTCGGATTCTGAGTCGGATTCGGATTCGGATTCTGACCTGGACTTGGATTCATGATCCATCTCTCTGCTCGTTGGCTTTCGCTGGCAAGATGCTAGCCAATTGATGTAAGGCCATGGGAATGAATGACAGCTGCATTCTCCCGAGCCAGTGGACATCTATCTCGGCCTATTTCATTGACTCTTTTGTCCTACATGATGTCGGTACTCAATTTCAAGGTTCCCCGTGACGATGACTTATTATCATGAAGCCCCTGCTGGAATCACGTGTCTCCGATCAATTCGGTGTGATGGAGTTCCAACCTGCTCAGGACTTGCCCTTTACTTGCACTCTACTTACGCTGTCCTCACACTGTGCTTACAACTACTGTACGTACCTAGTACAATCCCCTCGCTTCCAGAAGACAAGCCTGCCCCACTCCTCCCACTACCCCTTTCCATACCCCTGTTACCGCCACCACCAAGATTCGTAGAGACTGGCCACGCCCCAATCTCTCTCCCTCCCATTGGCCAGCCAGCTAGTGGATCGGGAGGTCGGTGCTTTTAGTTTCCGCCATCCCGGGTATTGTGCACATGGTTGTACGACTTTTATGCATGGGTAGTACTGTATGTAGTATTTACTTATACTCCGTATGCATACATATTATTCCCGTATATGCCACCTCGGTAGGCCACCTCGGTAGGCCACCTCGGTAGGCCACCTTATGCCACTTCCGCATACCGCCACCGGACCCTACTCCGTACTTACGTCTACCGGCCTACCTACCGTTGAGTAAAGTACGTAGTATACGGAGCGCACGCGCTGCATGCTGGCTGACGTAGCTACCGACGTGGCCAAGAAGGGCACCGTCGCCATACTTTCTTCTTATCGGAGCGAGCGGGTCGTCAGGGTTCAAGCCCAAGCGCGCAGCTCAGGCCAGGCCAGGCCGAGCCGAGGTACGGGTAACGGGTAACGGGTAACGGGAAAGTGGAAACTGAGAAAGAATACCGGTACTTACCCAAGAAGTGAGTCAGCGAACCGAGAGAGAGCACTGGGGTATCTCATCGTCAATCTTCTCTCCTCTCTTCTTACGTCTCTGAAGAAAGACGAAAGATGGCAAACTTTGACTCTGAACTGGCGGTACGTGGCGGGCCGTGGCGGGACGCGAGGACATGCTGGTGAGAGTGGGCGGCTATGTAAACGTGATGCAACACGCAGGGGGCGCGTATGTGTTGTACAGTACCAAGTGCGCACAGGGGCCGGTGACGCGCACGCATTGTGGTTGTGGACGTGGAGCTGTCCGGTAGTGGGAGATACAGATGAATAGAGAGACGACTGGATGGATGCAAGGAGTGATGCAAATAGCAAGCCATGGAACAGAGAAAGGGAAAAGGTGTCTGTCTAAGGTATACTTCTATCCGTCGTCCGCGACGAATTACCATTGCAAGCTCAGATGGCTCCTTTCTACGCGTCTCCCTTCGAAAGCCGTGCCTCGGCTGAAGGATCCGCGGCTCATGGTGGAATGGATGAAATATATCCGAAACTCCCGTCATGCACGTCAACCCGCGGCCTTATCAAGACAGTACAGTACAGTACTGTACTGTACTCTGTCAGTAATTGATCCGTACGATTGCCTCTTGTTAGCCCCTATTTTTATCGTCTCACAGCTCCGCCTAACGAACGGGCCGATGAGCTTGGTGGACCCCTTTCTTGACCATCCCGGACCGTACCGTTACAATAATAGTCAGTGCGCCTGCCCAGTAAGTTGTAACCTGCGCCGGCTCTCCGTGACCAAAAGTGGAAAGCAAGTGTCCCCATCTCAAAGTACTACTAAGAAAGCTATCAACCGCGCTTTAGAATGATTTCGTTTATAAAAAATTAATACTTAGTAGTAGTGCTGTCGTAGTACGTAGTACTACTACATCTAACGCCATAGCGCCGATCCGTGCATCTGGATTTCATTACCTACTACGTAAGTTACCTAGCCCCCTTCCCTTGTTGAGTGATTCAAGTCACAAATCTCTCCGACGATGGTGTTTGTGAACTTTTTATTTTCTTTTGCATCGAAGAAGCGGTATTTATTTCATGATATCTATCTTCTTCTCTCAGGCTAGAGAAAGAGAGATCTCAATTACACTCATTTTTCCGTGCCGCTTTGAATATTACAGCTCGATTCGTTAACTGCTACGTCCCAGGCGTAATTGTTACCCCTGGAGGCCCCGGAGGGTAGGGTAACCAGGGGCTTGGAAGGTGGAAACTAAACTTTGGAGGCCCCCTCAGGGGGGTAACAGTTACGCCTGTACCGTGCTACGTCGTATCTTATTTTGAGTTACAGACAGGTTCAAAGAAGTTGACGTTCTTGAACTCTCGCTTAAAAGTCCGAGTTTTCCTTTCTCGGAATCTGGTTTGTACGTAATAAATATTATTATGATAATAGGGGTAGATACTATTTCTCATCGGCTTCGTAGAGCCCGACTCTACCAATTCGTACGTGGCTTAGTGGTTATGATAGCTTTTTTCGTTGTGGACCTATCTCCAAGGTAAATCGCGATTCTCGAGTATTTTCGATAGAAAATCCAAAACAACGAACCTTTTCTCTTCCCGATTTGCAACTTGAATAACTCGGTAACGAGAGGAGCCTTACTATTGACAATTGAATTCCTCAATCGGTAGAATTGAACTCTGTCCAAGTTTCCGAACTTTAGTATTATAGCTCTATTTGTTATTGCATTATTTCCGTTGAACTACTACGTAAATTGGAGTGGGACGCTTACTTCCACTGAGAGCCCGCAGGTTATAAGGCGGCGCACTGACTGCTAGGCAGGTGGCTGAAATCCAATTCAAGCATGATCAAGCAATGGATCCCAGTGGCTCATTGGCAGACCAAGCACGGCCACAATCGCAACTGGAATGCAGTACGGAGGGATACCGGTAATGCAAAGATGGGAGGGATGCCACAATTTGCCAATCATTCATTTATTCATTCGTTCATGGTTCATGGCGACGTGCGATGGGCTCGCCCTCGGCTTTTTCCGCTCACTCCTCATCATCGCGGCAACGTACCTGGGTTGATTAAACGCCATACTGGGAATCCAGCACCAGCACCAGCACCAGCACCATGAGATGCTCCATCGCCCTTCTCGCGACCCTCCCCGCGGCCGCGAGAGCCCTGTCCTTCAACGCCTACGATCTGGGCTTCTATGGCGTCTATCCCACCCAGAACCACATCTCTCTCGGCCAGCGATCGCCGTGGGTGCGGATAACGCAGTGGGATCCCCAGTGCGAGGATGACGGCGCCCTCATCCTGCTGAGTCTGCGCGGCCACCACGTCCCGAATCCGGGCGGGGCCATTCTCGATCCGCGGGGGGGCTTGGTCTGGTCCGAGACGCGGTACGGGCAGGCTCTGAACCTGCAGGTGCAGAGGTATAAGGGGGAGGATTTCCTGACCTTCTGGTCCGGGACGAGCGGGGGTCCCTGGGGAAATGGCTCCTACATCATGCTCGATTCCTCCTACGAACTCGCACATACCGTGACTTCGGTCGGTATCGATGCCGGCGGGGATCTCCACGAGTTTGCGATCACCGAAAACGGGACGGCGCTGTTCACCATATACCAGGATACCCTCCTGGATTGCTCGGACGCCGGCCTGAAGCAGGAATGCTGGATCAACGATTGTCTGTTCCAGGAGGTCGACATCGAGACTGGCCGGTTGCTCTTCCAGTGGCGAGCCTCCGATCATGTACCCTTGAGCCATTCGTATAGTGGGAGGGGGAAGAAGGGGCTGTCGAAGAAGAAGTCTTGGGATTACTTCCACATCAACAGCATCGACAAGGACGACTTGGGCAACTACCTCGTATCTGCGAGACATACGCACGCTCTCTACTATATCAGCTCGACCGGCCATATTCTCTGGAGTCTGGGTGGCAGACACAGCGACTTTACAGATCTATCGGGGGGGGATGCATCAAACTTCAAGTGGCAGCACCACGCACGATGGCACGGTAACAACTCGATCTCCCTGATGGACAACCACGGCAACAACGTTTTTCACGACCGGTCCGAACACAGCCGCGGGATGACCGTTCGGCTCGATTTTGACCAGATGTCCGTGACTCTCTTGCAAACCTACGTGCACCCCAACAAGCACCTAGCCATTTCCCAAGGGTCTGTTCAAATCCTCCCGGAATCCGGGAACGTAATGGTAGGCTGGGGCAACGCTCCCGCCTACACCGAATTCGCACCTTCGGGCGAGATCCTGTGCCACAGTCATTTTGGCGCATCTCTCTTCTACTCCATCCTTGATCTTGGCTGGGTGAAGTCCTACCGCACCCTCAAGAGCAAATGGGTTGGGAGGCCGAAGGAGCCACCCGCCATCACAGCTTTTGCCGGGCAGGTCTTCACAAGCTGGAATGGTGCGACGGAAGTCGCGAGATGGAGGCTCGAAAGTGCGGAATCGGCAGAAGCAACCGACAGCGATTTTGCCATCGTCGAAGAAGTTCAGAAGGAGGCCTTTGAGACGGTGTTTTCGAGGGACAGTTGGGAGCGCAGGTTTGTCAGAGTTGCGGCTTTGGATGCTGCGGGTGAGGTCCTGGGGTACAGTGCTGTGGTTGACCGCGCGATCTCGGAACCGGTCAGCCCCACTCTGGTGTTTGTTAACTGTGGGTGAGCTGACATTGTTGCAGATATCGACGCCGCTGACCCCGATATTATTTGGCGTGTTAGGTGTTGCGGTCACTCTGTTCCTTGCTTGGAAATACAAGGGGGTGCTGTGTAAGCAGTCAGCTAGGATATTCCCGTGTATTCAGCCACCCAAGAGCTCGCAGCACTATGAGATGCTGAACTCCCATGGTCGCGATGATGATGCCGTCTGATCCGGTGTTCGAACTTGGTCGCATCAACGCCACGCTCTTGCTTGAGTTAATGACGAGGGCAATGAGATGTCGAGCACCAGCTCTGCGACGCGTGACTGACTGGATAGGTTTATACGATGCAGCAAATAGACAGATACACCACGCCGGAAATGAAATGGCAATGCACAAAATTCCGACCCAAAAGCCCCGGGGTGCGCCCTTTTCGAGCGTCCTACCAGCATCTCTGAGGAAACAAACAGATGTGTCGTTCTCGGCAGATGGCAACAGATCTAAGCGAGTTGGAGGGGGGGGGGGGGGTAGGGGGGTACTCCACGTACCTTC